ATATCTTGATGCTTTAACAGTAAGTTCCTTATTTGTGTATCTTGATCTTGTGTATGTAGTCTCAATTGTAACTTCATTGAATAAGTCAAACTTTGGTGAATCCTGTATTTTTTCAAATACCGTTCATTCACATCGACAGGTTGTAGTTCCGCAAGTATAGCCTTAGGTGTTATCGCAACTGTATTTGTTGTAAGATTCGAGACATTTACAGTAATTTCTTTGTTCTTTCTATACTGAAAATAAACTACAGAAGGTGTGATGTCTATACAATTAGGTAGGTTTGATTCATCTGTTTCCTGTATGATAGCACAAGTAGGGTGATAGTTCAATTCTTTGTCTATAACTCCTCTAATATTCTTAGTCTGGTTTGGTCCCAAGATAATCTGTGAGGGCTCGGCACTCCTTATTATTGCTATTTTGTCTTTGTTTCTTTTTACTTCCTGATTCCTTACAGTGATGCATCTAAAAGCTAAATACCATGGGGTAAAAAGTGAAGCTTTCTGAAGGAATAACTCTCCAAAGTTCTGTTTACATGATGCCATAAGTTCATTCAAAATATTTGTTCCGAGAAGAATAGGAGTCTTCGAGTTGTAAGGTGTTTCCGAGACGACAAGAAATAAACAAACAAGATCTTCTTGTTTTGGAATTCCTTTAGTATTTAAAGTAGTTTCTATATAACCATGGTATGGTAAGGTTTTGCCGTCAGCACATTCTATGTTAAGAATTTCCGAGACTGGTCTCATTGCGAAATGATTTAAATTGCTGTTGTAAAAATTTATGTTAACTGTTGAAACACAGCTGCCCGTATCAATAAGTGCATTTGCTTCTATTCCATTTATAAATATTTGAGCTTCATTTGTATAATATATGATAAACAAGATCAACAAGGAAAGGCGGCGTTCAATGAACGCAACCCCCATATGACCCAGCAACAAGAACCAACGACAAGGAGCCCAGGCGGACCCCGAACAAAAACAGGACAGGGCAAAGACAGAGCACGGACAGGTTAATCATTAAATGATAAATAATTTGGAACTGATTAGGAATTCAAAGAAAATAATAATAGACCCACAAAGGGGAAGGGGATAGGAGACCGGGGAAAGGTGGTGGGGGGTAATCAAAGAAATAAAAACTAGAGGCAATGGGGAAGATACTAACAGAGACGAGAAAATAACAAGGGACACAAGCAAAAGTGTCACCAAAACAGTATGAAACAACATAGACATACATCTGAGGAACACAGTGCGGCGCCGCCTTGGAACGGTCAGCAGCATAATAATACTGCTGGGGAGTTTAAACCGGCTAATGGTGCACCAAACCTCGCTCTTAGCCCCACCATGCTCCTATAAACGAGACAGTGTAAATAAAATGAATCCCCGCCAAGTGAAATTCTAACAGTTGTCATGGTTACAAAAGGTTAAATAAGTAAAACACTAAAATGATCATGTAGAAACATATAAAAGTAAACCCAATGACCACAACAAAAGTACTCAATGTCCTAAAGGAAGACAGAGCAACAAGAAAATCACCTACAAGGGCCCGACGAAGCAAGGCAGAAGACGAACATTAAGACAATTCAGTCCCAAAGGGCTTTACGAACTATCCATCATAGAGTCTCCCACTTGGTCCGTCAGATGCAATCAAAAGAGGAAAGCGTAGCGCCCAACTGTAAATGGGTTGAGCACCAAGCCTGCGGTATGTCTTGAAAAAGTAGGGTCATAGCCTCTTTGAATAAAACGTTTAACTTTAATGATTTTTGTAAAAAAATACCATGACCAAAAATCTTACAAAGTTTGTAAATCACATAGCCATAAAAACCACGCTGGGTAATCCCTTGTCGCAGAAGAGTTTATAAATCACTATTAAATTTTAAAATTAAATCAAAATTATTGTAAAATTTTGTAAAACATTTCCGTAATTCATAATAGCGGTAGCTCTGTTTGAGTAGCTTACCGAAAATGAAAATATTTCGCTCGTTAAAATCATTAACGTTGCTTCAAGCTCTAGCGAATCTAATTAACTGAGAAACATAAACCCCGTAAGATGTTGCATGGGGTACGTCTCCATCTAAATGTGGATAATTAACTATACAAAAGTGAAAGTCATCTCTTTTATCATAGATTTTCGTGTGAATAGAATTGTTGTTGATAGTAATATGCAGATCCAAAAATGATGTACTAAAATTTCAAGAGTTCGTTTTATTAAGTTGTAGTTCATGTGGATAAATGTCAGACACCATTTGATCAAAATAAGGATTATCTAAATTAAAAATATCATCAAGGTATCTGGAAGTATTATTAAATGCGACTATAACATCTTGTTGTTTATCTTCAGAGAGACTCAACATAAAGTCTCTTTCATAGCAGTACAAAAACAAATCGGCGACCACAATTAGTACCCATAGGAATTCCTATGATCTGTTTAAATAGGGTATTACCAAACCTGACATAAATGTTGTCTAAAAGAAAAGAGAGTGCTCCACAAACTTCGTCACAGGTCCACATAGTATAATGTTTAACAATACCGTTAGTAAAAAAATCTTTGTTAGAATTACATGCTAGAAAGGTAACTTTTTCTCGTGCAAAAGTTTTCTGAATTAGGGAAATTAGTTTATCATTGATTAATTTATGTGGCAAAGTTGTATAAAGTGTAGAAAAATCGTATGTACTGACAGTTGAAGCTTGAAAGTTCTTAATTTTAAATTTATCCAAGATTTCACCAGAATTGTTAATTGACCAAAAGAGATGTTTGCCTGTGTTTTCATAGACTTTATCACAATATCTAATTACATGTGTTTTAATGGCAGTCAAACAAGACGTCAATAAAATAGAAAGTTTACTTGTAGTGCAAGATGTAGAATTAGCAATGAATCTGGCTTTGTAAGGTTTTTTTTATGTAATTTAGGAATCCAATACATTATAGGAAGTTTGAGTTCTTTTTCATTAATTTGGACTTTAAGATTGGAAAGATTAGTAATATGATTGTTAACAGTGTCTTTTTCGGAGGCAGAGGTTTTAGAATACGCATTAGTACTATTTAGGTCCTTATGCAAAACGTTAATGTAATGGATTCGTCATACAATTATAATATTATTAGCCGCCTTGTCCGCTGGCACCAAAACAAATTTTGAATGAAAGGCTAGAATATCTTTTTTCAGATGTCTTAAAGTATGTCCAACAAGTTCTGGACCATTATGTTGATAAGTGCTGGCATCAGGTCCCATCATGTGAGCACTTACATGTTTTCCGAGCAATAGCGAGCAATATGTCCTTGTTTGTTACAGCGATAACATGTTAAACAATCAATATTGTTGTTGTATGTAGGTCTGTATGTTGTCGTACCGGTTGGTCTAAATGTTGTTGTACCAGTAGGGCGTCGTGGCTGATAAGTGCCTCTACTTCGGAAAGGTTGACCTCGTGCAAGTGTGCCTCTATAATGGCGTTGTCCTCTATCTAAGAATCTTCTACTAGGATATCCTCCTCTCTGTATATGTTGTTGTGCAAATTGGCTTTGTTCTTTCTCCATCTCTAATTTCTTTATCCTTTCGTTCATTTCTTGTAATAAATTTTTCATATCTGAAAACTGATTAGACTCAGCAGAGTCTAATTGTTGTTTAGTCATAGCCTGACTTTGCGGTTTATCATCCTTTTTATTTTTCTTATCATTGTCCTTGAGCATCTCCGCTTCCACTTTTCTACATTCCACCTTGAAATCCTCATAATTGTCTATTGTGTTATACATATAATTGCATAACTGCTTTAAAGGTTGACGCATTCCAGAATATAACACCACATTTAGTTCTGTTTTCACTTGTACAGGTGTCATTGCCTTTAACTCTACAGCTTCTGCAGCTATCTCCTCCACTCTAGATGCATATGTAATAAAAGGTTCATCTTTATTCTGTTCACATGTGTAAAGATTCCTTAAAATAGAAACTGGAGTGTTGATATCTCCATATGTAGCCTCAAACTTTGTAAGTATTTCGTCAATACTTGGAGATATGCCAAGATGTCTTAAAATATCTGATGCTTGACCTTTCACAGAGCGTCGTATTCCAAGCAGTATTTGTTCAGGTGTGTAACTCTTTTCCTTTAATAAACACCTTATCTCATATTTCCATGTGGCATATCCCACTTCTCCTTTGCCTTTCTCTCCATAAAATAATGAAATGCGTGGAAATTTAGAAGATGTTGTCTCTGGAATATGTACCGAAGCACCAGGTTTGATTCCTGATAATCCTGTCCCGATATGCTTAATAAATGCTAAAAGATCTTCCTTTGTTTCAATGCCTTCGCTTCCATCTAGTTCATGAAATGCTTCCAGAAGTTTGCGATCCTTTTCTTCCATTGCTTTGGATTCTTTTGAAGTCATGTTCAATATATATTTCTTTTTAATATATGTTTATAGGATGCACTGCTAAAGAATAACTTCAGTTGTCACAAAATCCTTCTAAAGAATATATCCACAAATTTAAACACTAAGTATTTCAGTGTATATAAATTTATCCAGTCTCTCTTTTCAAATATTCATAACACTGCATTCATAAATGTCCGATATATTTCAGTATTTGAATATTTTCAAATATTTACAACATGTAATCACAAATGTTCACAGCGTATTTAAAATAACGTATAAAATAAAGACGCGAAAGCTGCAGCACACCGAAGTATATGTTGCGAACAATTTAAGCTACTATTCCCCAGAAAAAAAATTGTTAAACTCATGCAGTACTTAAAGTTGGTTAAGTGCAGTGCAATTGTGATCTCACTTACTTACTTCCGCTTACAATATCGCACCTTTTTTTAAAAATAAAATAAACATATGTGTATGCAAAATACAGATTTGTTAATCAAGGTCATTTTAAACCCAAAAATATGTATGTAATTTAATAAAAAAAATTACTGGAAGAAAAAAATTAATAATACCCGTACTTAGTTTTTTTGTTTTCTTTTACCCTAAGTGACCTAGATTATTACAAAATATATTTTATTTTAAGTCACTACAGTTGCACAGAGAGGACCACTGCTTATCTAACCACAGTCAATGTCTTTACACACTGTCACTTTACAAATAATCCTCTGTTGATGATCTTCTAACCAGATGTGTTCCAAGTCTCGAAAAGTGTCCTCTGTCAAAGGTTGATTAATCTTTCCTACACTAAAGACATGTCAAATTTGCATAGCACAAATATTTATCAATATTTATGAAAACTGTTAATTAATCTTCTATAAAATAATGTTTGCTGTGAAGTATTGGATTACTTAAAACATGTTGTTTATAAAATATAGTCTTTACAGTACTTAAAATAATAATTTTCTGTTAATTGTAGACTAAATTCAATTCACTGTTGTATTACAAAATAATACAACTTCTTTCAGTGTCCAAAATGAATCACTTAATACAAATATCACTTCTGTAACAGATTATAAAAGTCAATGTTGTCAATCTTCGATCTGGATCTTGTTGTTAGTTAACTACATCACTGGGGGCTCCATTGTAATTTTGGGATATCTCTTCAGGGGTATCAATATATACAAAATCTTCTCTTCAGGTTCGATCATATGTAGTTTATTGACAAACCAAATCTTTACATTATTTACAACAGTTCATCTGACATATTCACAAAGTATACCGGTACATCTTGTAAACCAACCATCAGTCTACGTAATGATATAAGCATGTGAACAAGGTAGGCACTGAAATAGTAAATAGTAACAATCCTTACCAAATGATTGGAGAATAAAGAGTTATCTCTTTTTAATATCATTCATAATAAATATACATTTTACCTGGAGTAGGTAAAATACCCAAACTAACTCGTGGTTCAAATGCACAGCTATTTATACATCTCCAATTATATCAATAACATAGTTCATAGCTAAGTTCATAGTTCTTAATTATAGCAGTCCATTACTCAATGATACAGTGGTCCATGTGCTTACATTTAGTTGTAACAATGCAAAAGTTATTAGAATTCAATAATTCATCAAAGTACCTAATATATATAAAACATTTCTCTCATAGACAATAAAATATCAACTTACAGATCTGTAGGATCTTTAGCCCTTTTACACAAATAAGATATACGCCATCATCCACACAAATCCACACAAATGAATCTCACCGAGTGCTGCTGTTAAGAACAATGCATTAATTATTATATACATGCAAATTAGTTGAGATATTAAAGTAAAAGATAGAATAATTAGGATAAAAAGTTGATAGTAGTAGCCATCTGAACAGAGAGACAGGCCTTCCTCTCTCAATGGCTACCAACCAACGCACTGAACGGAATGAAAACGAGATTCACATGACACGTACAAATCCCGCCAAAGTCAAGGGGAAACCACTCTTACATAAACAATATGGATAAAAACACGGTACCTAAAAGCACAGGAAAGCTGGGGAACATCTCAAAACACAGATTACTCGAAAAATACACCTTGTTACATAAAGACTCTGTTTTATTTTGCCTTAAAAATAAGTAAAATTTGCCGGTCAGAAGAACACGACAATAAAGTAGACTAACCGAAAGTTAAATGAAAACTGACTGAACTTGATCGTTTTCTGGCATATTTATACCAAATCAGAGAAAACGAACATCAGAAGGTTCGAAAAATATTCAACTGTATGTTTTGGTCGGTGGACAATGAAACTGAACATTTGACGTTCGGAAACGATCAATTCCATACACAAAGAACGCTGTCAACCAACCGAACGTCCGAACATCAACAATTCTTAGCTAAAGTTCTATGAAACTTTACATAAAAATACGATAAATTGATACATATAATATTTATAAAAATGACTAGTACCATGGATTGGCTATAAGTTTGTTGGTTTTGATGAAACATAACTTTGAAACGGTTTGTTTACTGAGTTAAGGCAGCAATTGCTATTGACAACGGAAGTCACACAACCCATAATGCGAACATCAGCGAACAACAACAACACCTGTCAAAGTTTATCGAGTAAAGTTGATTGATTAAGCGAGACTTACCTGTAAGTTGAAGGTTGATCATAATTTCATCCAGCACAAATCTCCCTTAGGGCTCACACAGATTACCGACGCAGCGTGTGAGCCCTAAGGGAGATTTGTGCTGGATGAAATTATGATCAACCTTCAACTTACATGTAAGTCTCGCTTAATCAATCAATTTCATCCAACACATAATCTCCCTTATGGGCCCCACAGATTTTTTAGAGCGGATTCCTGATTAAATATTTGGAGATGTACAATAAAACTATAATTCTTCTCTATTGTATAATATATTTTAATGTAAGTAATGTGTATGTTTATTCTCAGACGACACTGTATTAATTGCTAAATTATTATTAACTTTATTGTGTAAATATAGGTCATCCCTCATTTTATCAATATCTTATCTTGAAAAAAGTTTGAACAAGATAATATTGGTTTATCAAAATAATTTTCAAATTTGCAAATGTTTGTGCATTGCTCCAGCCAGCTGTACTTTCAATAAACGGAAAAAGGTACCCCTTTTCCAAATGCTTTTGACGTAGCAGCGCTCTCGTACTGTGTGGTTTAAATATGCTTGGAATGCCAGCGTTATGCATGATTAATTTTATCCATCGACTAACGGTTTGTTGCGATATTTTTTCCATGTGGTTTAATCGCTGATATCAGTAAATGTTCCCCCGTTCGCAAATGTCGTGTTCTTTCCATATATTCTTTAAAAATTGTCACGATACACAATTTAGTATTATTTGGATATGATCTTAGTATAATAGGTTGCAAGTGAAAATCCCCCCGACTTTGTTTAAGTAGACTTGATATGTTAATAATAACGTCATCATCTTTTAGAATAATGTCTGATAACTTAATAACATGTAGTGTTTGGCATCTTTGAGCCGTAACTAAAAGAAATAACATGCATAATTTACAAGATAAATGAACTAATTTTTCTGTATTCATTTTTTCCAAGTATTGTAAGATAATATTAGCGTCCCAGATATCCTTATATCTAGGTAATTGTGGTTTTGAATTAAATACACCTTTCATGAATCTTGAAATTAACACGTTACTATGGATATTTATTTCTCCAACTAGCTTCATAAAATTGCTGATTGCAGAGCGTGCAGTGTTAATAGCCGTATAACTTAAGCCTTGTTCATATAAGAATGTTAAATAACCAATCACATTGTCTACAGTTCCAAGAGCGGTATCTCCCTGCCTTTCACAGTAACGTTACCATTTTTTAAGATATGAATTGTATTGCTTTCTAGTGCTTTCTCGCCAGGATCGTAGGATGATATTTTGGCCTGCTTTAGATATTCTTCGTTTTTGTAATGTTGACCTGATATATGAAAAGCAATCAGTCTCATGCGTGTTAACGGGTGTTGTTTGTGGGGTTTGTGCATTAGTTTCAGTGTGTTTCGCCGTTTTGGAAGTAGAGAACATAGTCCTATTATTAATCGAAGTAGACTTGGCCACCAGGTTTGTGTGGGCCAGAGTGGTGCTATCAATATTGCTTCTGATCTGTCCTCCTCCACTTTTTGAAGAATTCGAGAAAGTAAACTGAAAGGAGGAAATATATAATAAAAATTATTTTCCCATGTGAATGTAAATGCATCGACGGTCCATGAAAATTCATCCGGAAATCTTGAAACATAATTGGTTAGTTTCGCGTTTAGGTTAGAAGCAAACAAATCTTTATCCATTTTTGGATGCTTTTGTAGAAGTTTATCAAAAATATTTTGATCAATCGCCCATTCTAAATCATCATTTACTGAACGGCTAAGTTTATCAGCTTGTGTATTGGAAACACCAGCAATGTGACAAGCAGATACTTGGATGTGTTTTTCAATGCACCAGAACCATATACGTCTCGCAATTATGTCTAAACTATTTATTTCCCGCCGTATTTGTTTATATAACAGCAACTTGTCATATTATCAGTATATAACCGAACATAAATGTTTGACTTTTGTTTACAAAATGTTCTTAAAGCTATTTCGCAAGCTTTCAATTCTAATACGTTAATATGTTCTTTTTGTTCATCTGTAGTCCAGTAGCCATTGGTTTGTAAATTGTTTGTTGCATCAAAAGCTCCATACATATTTAACGATGCATCAGTGTAAATAATTATGTCTGGTGGGACAGTTAACATGCATTTAAAACTATCATTAACGGTATGTTTCCACCATTCGAGAATCTCACAAGACGGTCCCGTTACAGTCATAAAACTGTCAAAGTTCCCTCTATGTTGTTTTAGTTGTAAAGCTTTTAATTTCTCAAGTGGACGAATGAATAATGGTGCGTGAGTGACACCTGGCTCCGCCGCATTTAATTTCCCAATTAAGCGTGCAAAAGACCGTATTGTTATTCTAGGCGTGCTGATAATATCCGAACATCTGGAAATGATATCTGCACATCGCTCTGGTGTGAGGCGAACTGTCATTGATAATGTACATAAAATAAATCCTAAATAAATTAGCCTTTGGCACGGGACAAGAACGGATTTTCCGATGTTAACGGTCAAGCCTAAGGTATCCATCAACTGAACTGTTTCTTGAATATTGTAGAGACAAGATTCTTTGGTCATACCCATTAAACATGAATCATCAATAAAATATACGCTCAAATGACCCTGAGATCTCAAGTAAGCATAAACAGGTTTCATTAATTTTGTCCATATTCTTGGACTACATGAATAACCCATGACCAGGGCAGTAAACTGATATTTCTTACCGTCAAAGAAAAAACGTAAACATTTTCGGTCCTGATCACGAACTTTGAATAAAAGGCATCTGCAAGGTCAACTGAGGCTAAATAACAGTTTTTTCTCATCATTGTAATAGCAGACTGTAATGACTCCATTTTAAAATGCGAATTCTGTACAAAATTTTCGTTGAAGTATTTTAGATTTAAGATAATACGAACACGTCCATCTCTTTTGGGCCAAAAAAAGATATTTGAAATAAATTCTTTATCTGTGTCTTTAGTTGCCGGTTCAATAATTCCTTTCTCTAAAAATCTTAGTATTTCTGATCGGATTTTTGTTTTTTCCTCGAATGTAAACGATATTGGTGAAGGAATATGTACTTGTTTAGGCATAGAAACGACTTCTATTTTACATCCCCGAATAGTATTCAGCACCCACTCGTCACTCGTTAGTGTTTCCCATACTCTAAGACATTCCGTTGTTTTGCCTGCTTGAAAATTTTCAACGGTATTAAAAAGTTTTATATGTGTATTATTACTGACCTCAATTATTTCCGATTCACTCTTCCTGCTTTCTGTCGAAATTGGTGGTATTGTCGGGGAGATGTGTTCTTTTGTCCCGGAGGGGGGTAGTTCCCTGATGCTTTGTATTTCTTCCGATAGTTTGGCTGTTGTTTGTTGTTGTTGTTGAACCCCCCTCCTCGATTGAATAAAAAAGGCCTAGGATTACTAAGATTACTTGTAGTTGTCAAAGTTGTCGTGGATTATATCATTTTCTTAATATTGTCCTCAAGATTATCTCCAAATTGCTTAGTTTCTGATGAAGGCTCTTCACAGACTTTTTTATATTTGGGTATGATGTCGTTTTTGATCTTGTCCCTGCGGGACAGTTGGCACTAGTGCTAAACATAAGTGTTTTTGTGTTTGTTGCATGCCATAGTCGTAACTTTTTGTTTGTGGCTTTAGTTGTTTCCATAAAATTTCATCGACTTTCAAGACTTTTTGACGTTTTTGGGCCTTTTGTGCTTTGAAAATAGGTCCTGCATTTTCTCCTTTTTGGGGGATGTCCTTAATGAAGTGTTAACAACTTTCGCAAGGTCGCATGCCAGTTCTTCTCCCAAATCTTGTTCGTCTTCGAAAAATGTGGCAATGTCTGACCATTCTTCAGAATGTCCCCCTTCGACCCCCTCTGAATCTAAACGCAATAAGGCATCAAGATCTGACTCCTCCTCAGAGTGTGTACTTGACGTGTCGGTTCTGGGAAATTTCCGAGGGCTCTCAGATTGCAGCTCTGTTCCCGCCCTTTTCAGATTAGCCACATCCCTCTGAATTTGATTAATACTGGTCAAAAGGGCATCAAGGGGGTTGGTCAAACTTTGATTTGCCGTATCAGGTGATGTGGCTATTTGGTTTCCCATACGTGCAATCGAAAATATTCGACACATGCGCATTACTATTTCCTTCACTTCCGCCCTGGCTTGTTGCCAAACGGGCCTGTAAAAAACAAGAATGCGTCTTTACCTTTT